CCTTCTCCATACCTTGCCTTGTGCATCTCTGCCATCTGGCTGTTCCTGAGTTGTATTCTGTGTAACAAACCAGTGCAATGATTTTCAACTGGTGTGCCACAAGAATTTTTAAAACTATTTAGTCAGGGGCACTGACCTCTTTCCCCTTAGACTGTCAAATAAAAAAATGACAACAGCTGCAACTGGTTTGGCTCAGTGGATAGAGTGTCGGCCTGCGGACTGAAAGGTCCTGGGTTCGATTCCAGTCAAGGGCATGTACCTGGGTTGCGGGCACATCCCCAGTGGGAGATGTGCAGGAGGCAGCTGATCGATGTTTCTAACTCTCTATCTTTCTCCCTTCCTCTCTGTAAAAAATCAATAAAATATATTTTTTTAAAAATGACAACAGCCAACATAACAATATCCATCCAGTGTGAATGAATCAAAATTATACCTATTTTTTTTGTCAGATCAGCAAGAAATATAACATTTTTTGGTGTGCTGCAGAGTTTTAGTAATTAGTTTCTGTGTGCCATATGATGAAAAAGGTTGAAAATCGCTGATCTAGTGAATAAACTGTTTTCCTGAGTTCTGTGACCCATTCTAGCAAGTTATCAAACCTGTGGAGGGAGGCATGGGAACCTCTAATTTATAGTTGGTCAATAAAAACGCAGGTGACAATCTGGACTTGCCAGTGGTGTCTGAAGTGGGGGAGCCTTTAACCTGTGGGGTCAGCACTAACTCCAGGAAGTTAGTGTCAGAATTGAATTGTAGGACATGCAATTGGTGTCCACAGACAGCTGGAGAATTGGTTGGTATGGGTAAACCTCCCACATTTGGTGTCAGAAGCATTCTGAGAGTAGAGAACACAGAGGAGGTTTTCTTTTAGGGGCCTTCACAGTTCTACATAAAGTGTAAACTCACAGACAGCAGCTATGAGATTAACAGGAAATGCAGTTCTATACTTCACAGAATAGTATCGGCCCTGTAGGAAATACAGAAAGAATCCTCAGCATGCAGTTAGAGATTACACTTGGGTAAACCCTAGTTCCCTGCACCCCCTGCAGAGAAGACAATCAGATGGAAAATGATTGAATAGTGAGAAGCTAATTAGAGCAGAAATTTCTTTAACATATTCAGTAAGCAGAGAATATGTTTAATTCGTGTGAGAAGGTATAGCATGCCATTGAAATAGATGTTCTGATCATTCATTTCAACTAATTGTAAAGAAAGCTTTTTTCCTAAGTAATGTTAAAGGAAACAAAACAAAAAAAGGTAAACTTGTAACTCTCATACAGATATAAAATGAAAACATATTAAAAGATTTTCTTAACTTATTAATGAGGGAGTGTGTAAGATGTTATGATTAATTCAAAAGAGATTTTAAGGAACAGACACATTTATAATAAGGAGTAGTGAAATAAATGTGCAAATAGAGGCAAAACTACCCTAATTCCTTGGTGAGAGGAAGAAAGTCAATTGAACCACTGCAAGACAGTTTGCATGCCTGTAGGCAAGAATTATTTTGCATTGTTATCAATTATCTACCAATTTTGGAGCTGTAAAATAGTTCCTGTTGAATTAATATCAGATAACTTGAAAGGATGTGCTCTAGACAGTGTATAGCTCTCCACTGAAACACAAATTTTCCCCTCCACTCCAATATTTGGAGACCTGCTTTGAAGATATAGAAAATATATACAAAATGTCAGTTCATTACTTTTAAAGTGTTCAAGCAGGATTTGAACAACAGAATGCCAACATTTAAATTTGCAACAATTAGGAGAGCTAGTCAGTCCATAGAATAACAACCTCTGTCATTGGTGGTGTCAATGTAAGAAACATTCAAACCTGTAGAGAATTTTTGTGAGTTTATTTGAACCAAACTGTAGACAGTTGCTGGGAAGCAAAATCCCAATGGATTGAAAAAATGCTCCAGAGCATGGCAGTTTTCATCTTATTTTATACATTACAATCAAAAGAGAAGTCGTTAAGTGGGTGACATGAAATCCATTGGTGACAGATTAAGAAAGCAGGAGAAAGCAAAGGGGGGGCGGTATACCTCTGGGATTGGATAAAAAGTAAAATGATAGACACATACTTCTTTTACAAAAGTGGGTACAGGATAGTTAACAGTCAACAATTAACAGTGAAGGGATTTGTGGTCTCTGTCCAGTGGGGTTCCTATGCTTTCAGGGTTCCAGAAAAAGGAAATTATTTAGACATTCCAAAGGAATGTTATCTTACATGCAGAAAGATAATAGACAGGCTTAAGGTGAAAATTGACCTTTGTCAGGAAAGATTCTAGCCTAGGACATGATTACACACTATAAACTGCTTTTAGTTAAAAAGTTTTAATTTCAGACCATCCCTTGTGGTTATTTTAGGCTTCTGAGTTTTTAAGGCCACCATGCAGGCCTTCCCTGAGCTTGTCAGGTTCAGTATATGGCCCCTTTTTTGTCAAGAGTGGCAATTTGGCCTTCACTTCTCTGATGTTATCAGGAAAATTGGGGTGTCCTCTTTCCCACTGGGTGCTGGGGTGGGGTCCTTACAATATCTCGAGAAAAGGAATTTTCTGAGACTTGCATAGAGGATGAGTGATTTTTATTTGTGTGGAATTACACCCTTGTATTTCCTAAATTTCATTTCCCTTCATCCAGTCATAGAAGAAGTGTAGCTGGGGTTTCAATTAAACGAGAAGCAAAGCCAGTGTTGAGTTTCCATTCCATGTTGCAGCTGGGTCCAGTTCAGCATCAGGCGAGTTACAGTCCATTAGTCAGGAGTTAAGGGCAACATGCCAAGAGAAACAAGAGAACAAAGAGCACAAGAGATGGAGTTTCTTTGTTCAGGGAATTAAGTATTCCAAATCTTCCTGGGCTTGCAGTGGCCACACCCATTCTGGCCAATGACCTGTTCCCAGATGTGACTGACAGCAAGTACCTTCCCTGTGTCATACCAACTTTACTGGGCATGTGTCTATTCTCCTCCATGTCCAGTCCTTTCCCCAGGGAATAGAACGGTGGCTCTCTGGGGTGTGTGAAGCTTTAGCTTCCTGCTGAAGCTGCCTAAATCACACACTTATAATATTTTACCTTCCCTTTTTATTCCTTTCCTGGTATTAATAACTAGGTTAATTACAACAGTATTACTGAAAGCCCCAAAGAGCTGGGCCACACGGAGTGTGTTCAACTTAGAATAATTCCTACCAAGATAATACTCTCTTCCCAGAGAGCTCAGTGATCTATCTATCCCCTTTCATAATTATCTCCTCACAATAACTCTTAAATACTTATTTAAAAAGGGTTTTGTCGTGCCCATCTTGAATACTGAAAATTATATCACTTGATGAGCCATCTTTATAAACATTTTCGTAATTTGACTTACGGTCTGCTTTGTAGTGTTCTGTATGTGAAATTAACCAAACATGGAGGCATTAGACTGAAGTGGCTCTAGTGCAGTGGTCGGCAAACTCAATAGTCAACAGAGCCAAATATCAACAGTACAACGATTGAAATTTCTTTTGAGAGCCAAATTTTTTAAACTTACACTATATAGGTAGGTACACTGTTATTAACGTAATTAGGGTACTCCTAAGGCTTAGGAAGAGCCACACTCAAGGGGCCAAAAAGCCGCATGCGGCTCGCAAGCCGCAGTTTGCCGACCACGGCTCTAGTGCTTTGGTGGCCTATGTAAGCAAACCAAAACTTAAGATTATGAATGCCACATTAAGAAATTGAAAACAAGGACAACCAATCACAAACAACCAACTAGGCTTCAAGCTATAGCCAAATAATTTCCTTTCTTTGATTTCACACCTTCTCCTTACAAGTATGTCCCCTGGCTCCTGATAGGGTGATCTTAACCCCCTACTTAGGTGAATAGGGGGTTAAGTTTCCCATATGTGAATAGAGGGTTCAGTTTTTCTTAAGTTTCCTTTTCAGGCCTGTGAGAAGTGATTAAAGAGGTGACTCAGCTGTGAATCCAGCAAGCAGAACCCATAAGCATGGTCAGACTGACCCACAAGGAGTCAAAACGTCATCTCATCGCCTGATGATTAAGGACAATAGCTGACGTCTGGGGACCTCCAGGACTGCACGTAGCTGCATTCCGTTCCCCAGCCCACTCCCCTTTATAATCCTGTCCCCTGCACCTTGCTGTAAGACTGGATTTGAATGCTTGTAAGCGCCCTGTCTTCTTGGTTGGCTAGCCTTCTCAATAAATGCCTTATGTGATTCAACCCTGCCTTCATTATTGGACACAGCAACAGGCAGCCCAAGCCCAACCAGGGGTTTCCTGGTAATATTATGGAAGCACTTTTTAACCCTGTCTGGTTTGGTGAAGCACTATTTGAATCAATTTTTGCTCAAATAAACTCTCAAAATTTTAATATGCCAGTTTATCTTTTAACATTTATCTTTCTCTGCATTTTATCTTTTACTTATATTTGTTTCAAACTAAGTTCATGTAAAACATAAGTATCTGAATTATAAACATTATCTTGCTAAATGTTTTGAATTTTAAATTAAATCCTCCCAAAGGTTAGTTTATCTACTTGCTTATTTTAAACATTTGAATGTCATTTTCACTCCATTTTTATCCGTTTGTTCCTAGACCAGTGTTTATATTCTGTTTAGTGTGTAATCACATTTATTAAATATATTTATATTTTCCTGTCCACAGTTTTTAAAATTATTTTTAAAAAGTCACTATTGTTTCGTCACAAATTCTTGAATTTAACTCTACTCACAAACAATTTTAGATTAAAAGTATCTATTGGAATACACTGAATGGTAAAGAAATTTAGAAATGTGATTTTATATTTCCTCACGTTATTATCTCAAATCAGATCTTATGTTTAATTGGATATCAGCTAAGTCTAAAGATGGAAGGACAAATCCAGATGTCAACACACAGGAAAAAGAAAAAAATCTTGTGTCTTTGAACAGCAGAATTGCCTTTCTCCTGCCTTCCCCACCTTACCCACATACCTTTAGAGTGTTAATACTTTGCTTCTGGGAGTACTGGACTAAAGCTTCAAGGGCAGACGTGAATAACAATAGACTATAGTACCTGAGCCTGAATTGATTTCTTAAGGGCAAAGAGCTGGTTGGCCAACATGTTTCATTTTGCAAAGTGAGGTATGGACCAAGCAGAAGGGCTCCAGAAAATAGATGAGGTTTTCGAGGCTGCAGGAGAGATTAGGGTGTGGACATAAAGATACTGCCAGCCAGAAAGAACATTTGGGAATAGATCAGAGATGTAATACAGAGATTTTCCTCAGGTTTATTTTGATGTATGTAATCTAAACTCTCTTCTCCATTTTCCATTAAATCTTCAGTAAGAACCTACATTATTCTGGGGAGCAGGCCTATTTTTTTATTATTATTTTTTTGTAATGTGACATCTTCCTAAAAAGGACGATTAAATAAGCGTGGGTAGTAGCTGCCCATGATTCTTCCCAAGGTTATACACCAGTGGTAAGCTGCATAGGAGATGGCACGCAGGAGGAGTGATACTCTGCAGGCTTTTCTGAAATACCAGCAGGGCTGGCATGCGCATTGATGGGCACCGGATGTCTTTTTGATCAGGTCCTCTGTCATATCCATTTTGCCTATTTAAAGAGATTTACAAGAGATTGATTAATCTCACTCTCCAATAACTCTACACTCTGTTGAATAATCACAGTGCTTCTTCCATTAAAAAAGTGCTTCATAAATATTAATCGCCATAAATTCCACTTTTTAAATAAAAGAGACAGCTGCTTCCCATTAATTATCCTATCAGAAAATTCATTGGACATTTTCTGAAGAGCTTGACAATGTAAAGGAAGAAAAATCATTTTCCCTCTCCCTGTCTGAGTTCTCAACTGAGAACCCTGTAATAAAAGATTAACCAGAGAAAAACAGTCTATTAACATGCATACTCATGTATACATTGGAGATACCCTAGGAAAAATGAGTTACTCTTCCAGGTGCCTTTAGAATTAAGGATTAAACACGATCTTAATAAGGAAGGGGGAGGTGAGATGTAGGCCTCTTAGGGAAGAGGACATTATTTTTAGGAAAGATGGAAAGATGAATGGGCCCTTAGAAGAATAAATGATAGCTTGTGACAAAGTTTGTCTGGGCATGGTGTCAACTTCTAACATCCTCTCCTGCGATGAGTCAACCCTCCCTGATTGATGAAACTCTGGGCAAAGTGATTTATGGCAAATGAGTTCCTTTTGGAGGATGTGTCCTTAGGCAGATAAGGGAAGTTAGGAGAAAACCTCTCCATACATTTGCTGTTTTTCAAGTGCCTACAGTTCAACACACCAAAGTGGCTTGGGGGTAGAATGTCTTAAACTCCTAGAGTCACATTTTGGAGTAATATTCTGCTCCCTGCAACTACAAATACAGCTGCTTCCTCTGGGGTTAGGAGCCCCCCAAAACTCCAAACCTTAGCTCTCAGTAGTGAGCTCCATTTGGCATATGGAATTGTGGATGAGTTATGGGTTCTAGTCCTGCTTTGGGCTTTTGCCAAGTTATGTGATCCTGGGGATGTCTGCTTACTTCTCCAAATATCAGTTTCCTCATCTGAGGGCAGAAAAAAAATCTTCCTGTACCAACCTTAGGTTCTTCAGCTGGGGCCCTGTAAATTAGAATGGCCAAAATCAGATTAAAAGGAGAAAAACAAATAGAAGTTTATTAATATGTACATTGCACACATACACATGGGAGCACTCAGCAACAACTAACCCAAAGTAGTGGCTCTTCTTAGAACTTAGATTTTAAATACCAACAAAGAAAGGGGTTTGGGGCTTCTGGGCAGAAGAGGCAAGTTTTGGGAAGATGACCAGGAAACATATGGTAAACAAGAGTTGTTCAATGAGGTTCGATGTGCAGTTTTAAATCTGTGCCTTTTCCATTTAGAAGAGTTGGTAAGAGTCCTCCTCTTCTCTATATGGAAGAGAGAGCTGTCTAAATGAAAATCATTTATAAATGTATATTTCCTTGTTTTCAGAGGTTTTCCTGAGCCTGCTGGTTCTCAATGGCCTTTATCTCACAATAAATAAGCCATATCCTAAAGAGGCATATTAGGTGGTGGTGGTGGTGGGGGCATCTTCTGGGGCCCTCTTCTGCTACAATTCTTGTGCAACAGAGACCTTCCTTTGTATCTGTTTTAGTTAGGAAACAGAATGTAGAAAGTTCACTCAGAGAAAGAAATAGTTTAGTGAGATACTAAGGTGTATGCTTAGGGAATTAGGAGATTCCACTATTCAATAGGAGAGAAAGAAAGGAAGTTCCCTGAGGAAAATTTGGGGGATTCCCTGGAGAAAGGAGACAGACAGATGCCAAAGGGTGTGGATGTTCTTGAGGGAATGGAAGACAGAAAAGAAGAAGACTATGGTGGTGAAACAAGTAAACGTCTGACAGTCTGGATCTAAAGCCCAGTGTTGCCCCTGGCTAGTTCTGTGATCTTGGGCAAGCCATTTTCCAGGCCTCAGTTTCTTTCTGTGTAAATTGGGATTAATAATAGTGTTCATCTAATAGAGTGAATTAAATTAGTTAAAAAGTACAGTCAATAATATTATAACTGTGTGGCATCAGGTAGGTACTAGACTTATCAAGGGGTTCACCTTGTAAGTTATATAAAGGTACTAGAGGCCTGGTGCACCAGTGAGGTCCCTCAGCCTGGCCTGTGGGATTGGACCGAAACGGGCCTGACATCCCCCCACAAGGGGTCCTGGATTGCGAGAGGGCGCAGGCCAGGCCGAGGGACCCCACCGGTGCATGATCAAGGCTGGGGAGGGACACGGGAGGTTGGCCAGCCAGGGAAGGACCACGGGAGGGCTCCAGAGTGTGTCTGGCCCATCTCACTCAGTCCCAATCGGCCAGACTCCAGCAGCAAGCTAACCTACCAGTCTGAGCGTCTGCCCCCTGGTGGTCAGTGCACATCATAGCGAGCGGTTGAGTGGCCTTAGCATATCATTAGCATATTACACTTTGATTGGTTGAATGGCCCACCAGACACTTAGCATATTAGGCTTTTATTATATAGGATATCCCAGTGGTCGGCAAACTGTGGCTCGTGAGCCACATGCGGCTCTTTGGCCCCTTGAGTGTGGCTCTTCCACAAAATACCAGGTGCGGGCGCGCATGTACAGTGTGATTGAAACTTCATGGCCCATGCGCAGAAGTCAGTATATTATGTTATATACTTGAAACTAATATAACATCGAATATCAACTGTAATAAAAAAATTAATCAGTACTATATAAACATCCCTTTACTATAAACCTTCCTCTTCTTGAGGTCAGAACTTTGATGAGGCCTGAGAAACAAAATTTTGAAGGCACATTTTAAACTTAATAGTTAAGAGGATATCAAATCATATCAGAAAAGCCAGCAGTCATATTCCACAAGGCCCAGGTTCACTCAGCAAAACACCTTATAGATCACAAACCAACTTATTGATTGAGAGTGCAGAATTAAAGAGAACTGAACGTCCAAAAGGGATAGTTTCAGAAAAGTAATCTGCTTAATGAATTGCTTTGTAGGTTTAGGGAATAAATCCTTCTTTCTCCAGAAACAGGACTGATCACCACAAATAGATCATTCTTCTCCCAGAACTATACTAGAAGCACAAAAATGGACAAGTCTTCTTGGACTCTCAAGACTCCAGGTTAGGGGAGTATAGGGTAGAAAAGAATTCACTGCAGTCAGGTAAAACCAATGTTTGAGTCAACTACTTACTAGCTTTGTAAATGGGCAAATGAATAACCATTCTGCCCCTCTTGTTTTTTTATACATCAAATGGAGAAGATATAGAAGCCACTTTATAAGGACTGAATGAATGAATAAATATAGTGCTTAGCACAGGGCACAGTACATCTATTCAAAAAAATGTTAGTTGCTGTCAACCCACTGCACTCTCATTATGACATATCCTTGGTCATAATACAGTTGATTGTATCACAACCCATATTATATTATTTAAACTTGGTTCTTCTTGGTGGAACTTTGAAGGCTCCCTAGGTCCTTGTTAGGCAGCATAAGTGGCATATTTTACAGACCATCTGTCAGGTAACTTCAAAGAAATGAACAATCGCATTCATTTCACTTTTTTTTTAATGAGCTTTATTCTATTTTAAATTTTAATCATACCATGTCATTTTTTTCAAAATGGCCTTCCCTTTATCATTCTCAAGTCTTTGGCTTTAGGAAGACAAAGCCATGATTTTCTTTTTGCCTCTTATCTCCGGCACTTAGCAGAGTGCCAGGCACATAGTAGATGCTCAATGTATTTTTTCAAATGAAAATATAGATGTATCATTCTTTCCTAATTATAAAAATAGCCACCCTGTCCTACAAACCTCATTTTTTTTTAATTTGGAAGTTATGTGTGTGTGTGTGTGTGTGTGTGTGTGTGTGTGTGTGTGTGTTTTCCTAGGAAGTCTATGCTTTAAATGAAACCTTAAGTGTTCTGTTTTTTTGTTTAAGTTGTTTTCTTTCTCATCCAACATCTCCATTTCATTAGAGTCCTGTTCTGATTGTTCCCTTTGTTTATCTACTATTAGGCCTGCTTAGATATGCTGCAACTTTTCTTCATCTGCTCATTGGGACTTTGGGGACTTTGGTGTGGCTAATATCTTAAGTGAGGATTCTCACAAGAGGTGAAAGGTCCTGTGTGCTGGCAGTATAACCAACAAGAAGGATGTCAGTCCTCCACTCTGCTCCCTTTTCTCCACTCTCCCACCTCAAGAATTGATCCCACAATTCAGTTCCCCCATTTCCTGGATCATGATCAGTTAGCTTTCCCCCTGAAGGTCAAGGATCCCTAAGGCCAGCTCTCTCTAGGATCTTAACATGAAGTGTGCAATGCTGGTCTCAGAGCTCTCAGTGGACCCAGAGGGAGAAAGTCCTGTCGCACTCACTAGCTGGCAACTTCTGGACCCCACATGACAAGCCCTAGTATCTGCTAGACCAGTGGTCGGCAAACTGTGGCCCCTTGAGTGTGGCTCTTCCACAAAATACCATGTGCTGGCGCACACATACAGTGCGATTGAAACTTCGGGGCCACACTCAAAGGGCAAAAGAGCCGCATGGGGCTCGCGAGCCGCAGTTTGCCGACCACGGTGCTAGACTCAAGAGAATTGGATAAGATAGAATTATAGGTCAACTCAATTTCAGAGTGACATTTTCTGATCTCTTAGCCACAGTCTGAATGTTAAACATTATTTGCCATTTATTATTACTGCAAATTTGTACAAACATAATTATTCTCACTTATTTAATTATTTTGAAAACAATGGAAGAGAAAATTGGATAAGCTGGAATAAGAGTATAAAAAAGAAACCTTGCAAATTGTCTCTTTATTTTTCTCTCACTAGGTGGAAATTGTTGCATCCAGAAAAGCTAGCTTGAGAAGAGAGGCTTATCTTCAGAGTTTAAGTTAATACCTAGCACATGCATTTTCTCAATAAACATTTGTTAAATACATTAATAAATATATGGGTGAATGAATGAATGATGATGCAATTGAGACTTCAGAAGACTTGGGTCAGATTTATGCAGTGGACAGTGGTTTTCAAAATTTGGTTTAGCCTAAAAAACTTCCGTTTAAACAACACTTAATGGGGAAACTCAGTAAGTTAAAGAAAGAAAATAGTCTGGTTGAAATGAGCAGAGTATTCAGACCATACCTGTTTGGGTATCTCTGGCCACTGAGAGGGTTCCCCACAAACCATTTTATTATAGGGGTTACAACAATGCAGCAGAAAAATAAGGCTCCTGAATGATGAATATACTTATTTCAGCTGCATTTACTGTCAATATCAATCACACCAGCAGAACCACTGAATTCAAAGAACTGCATCAATTATTGAGAGGGATTAAGTAAATGATTGGGTCATTACTTTTATAGCCTAAGCTAGTCATTAAGATAAAATGATAAAAAGAGGATCTAATGTAAAGCTGGGCAACAATTTCAAAAGAAATTGAATCCATTATTATATGTTTAATACACAATTTTAAAAGAAGTTTAATCAATTATCAGAACTTAACTAACCAGAATCCTTGATAAACTGAATTTTCCCACATTCATTCATTAGGAAAGATGTAGATCTTAAGGAGATATGCTAAAATCAGTCAAAAGTATTTACACATTATGTCTGACTATCCAGCACAGTTCTTAGCATTACAAAGGATACAAAGATGCAGAAAACATGGTCCTTAGAATTAATCTGCTTATAATTTAGCTGGGCAGACAAAACTCACATGTATGAAATCATCTAGAAAGAATGAAGTGTTAAATTCTATGTAATTAATTTTTAAAATCTGGTAATTTAATTATTTTTAGGGCTATTTTGTGTAATACAAGCACCATTAAATAAATAAAATTTCAATATAAGTTCTTAAAATATACTCTGGAGTCAGTTAAGATTGATCTCAATACCTATGGTTTTACTTACGGTTTATTACTGTAAAGTAATGTAACCATAAAGTATAAGAGACCAATAACCTTGAGTCATTATTGAATCCACAAACATCAAAGTTCATATCAACCAAGAGTTTTGGGCAAAAGTGATACATTGAACCCAAATAATAGGAAACAGGCCCTCGCTGGGTGACTCAGTTGGAGCATCATCC